AGGTTTGCCTGTTTCAGAGCTGGGGGTGAAACTTGAGACTTCAAATCTTGTAGGCAAGAGGCGTGTTATTGAGCAGCATATCCCGAAAACTGTGGCCTTAACTGTCAGTTAAAGACAAGATGGGGGAGATTCCACCACGAGATGGGGGAGATTCCAACTCGTGCTTTCTAAAGGCTGTTCTAGTCACAAAAGATAAAAAGGAACATCAGTCTAATGGCTACTGCAGTAATCCTAGAGAGAGCCTGCAGGAGCTCAGGAGAGTAGTCACCGTCCTATCAGGGACTGCCACAGGCTAAATAAGCTAGTCAGTACTGTTCAGGTGAAGACACTTGCTGTTCCATGTTTGAAGGCACATGAGAAGTTCCCTTAATCCTCTAGGCCTAGAATCTAAAAACTTCCATTCTGGGAAAGTCAGATCTTTTGGCTTTGACACAGAAAAGAATTTCAGGAGGAATCAGAATGAAGCAGAGTTAAACTTTATTAAGGGACGTTTTTAGCAGATTGAAAAACAAGGGTTAAAAGAAAGGTACTCAGAGAAAAGAGAAACAGTGAGGGTATGAGTTATTCAAAGGAGAGTCACACACACACACACACACACACACACACACACTTTTGGTGGGTTTTAAAGCTATTATATTTATATCTTTACCAAGCATCTTAAATGAGATCACAGGATAGCTCCTGAAATATGCAGGGAAGCTCACTCTTGATAAGATGAAACACTACATCAAGATTGGGGTTATAGCTCAGCTGGTGCTTGTCTAACTTCATGAACCACTGGGTTCCATCCTTAGCACCCCCTAAACCAGGGATGCTGGTGCATCCCTGAAACCTCAGTACATGGGAGGTAGAGGCAGGAGGATGAGAAGTTCAAAGTGATCCTCATTACAAAATGAGTTCAAGACCAACCTGAGCTAACATAAGATCCTTTCATTTTGTGTGAAAAACAAAATGAAAGTCACACTAGGACACAGGGATGAAGGAACTTAGGATAGCCGCACTGTGAACAAATGTGAATAATTTTGCTTATGAGACTCTCACAAAATATCTGGCAGGAAGGTGACGCCCCACCCAAGATCATATGATTTGGGCATAAGCTTGCTTTATTGCTATTTTAACATTTTTATTTGAAAACATGTCTACATGAAAGAAACACTGTCCCCGTGTTGGCAGCCTCCACAGCAAGTGTTGTTAATTATGCTGGAATCCGTGCTTTTCAGCGGCTTTAACTAGACTCTAGATTGAGAGGTTCCTTTCTCATCTCATGATCCCATAATTTCTCCTGTCTTTTTTATTTTATTTTTTTAATGCGTTAATGTGAAAACTGACAGCAAAATTGCAATGTACTTTCGCTTAGGTATTTCAAAGTTAAAAACAGTGCTTTTGCAAGTGGCAAATGAGTAGCTGTACATAAAAATGTTTAAGCAGAGACAGAGAATGATCATAATTCTAATTCACAGTAAATAAATTAAGCAAACACAATACAGTTGCTGTATAGCTCCATAGACAGAAATGACCCTTGCTTTCTCTTATCTTTTTACCCCAACTCAAGCTCTTTACCACAGAGCTACACCCTTAGCCCCCCCCCCCCCCCCCGCCCCCACCACATTTTTTTTTTTTTTTTTTTTTAATTTTGAGACAGAGTTTCATATACTCCCGACTGGCTTCAAACTCTATGGGGCCAGGGATGACCATGCACTGTTCATCCTCCTGTCTTCACTTCCCAAATATTGGGATTGTAAGTATAAACCGCTGTGCCTTGCTCACAGATTATTTTTTTAAATTTTGCTATTTTATTTATTTACTCTTTTTTATTGTTGTTTTTATGAGACAGGATTTCTCTGTGTAGCTTTGGCTGTCCTGGAACTCACTCTGTAGACCAGGCTGGCTTCTAATTCATAGAGATCCTCCTGCTTCTGCCTTCAAAGTGCTGTGATTAAATCCCTATGCCAATACCTCCTTGCAGGTTTCTTTTTATTTTTTAATATTTATTTATTCTTGCGTGCATTGATGTTTTGCCTGCATGTATGTCTGTGTGAGGGTGCCAGATCCTCTAGAACTGAAGTTACAGACAGTTGTGAGCTGCCATGTGGGTGCTGGGGATTGAACCAGGGTCCTCTGGAAGAGCAGCTAGCGCTCTTAACCTCTGAGTCATCTCGTTAGCCCGCCATTTTTTTTTTTAAAGGTCTGACTTGATTTTTTTTTTTTCTCTCTTTAACTCTGGGTGTCTGGTGGCACACGCTTTTAATCCCAGCACTCACGAGGCAGAGGCAGGCGGATCTCTGAGAGTCAGCTTGGTCTACATAGTAAATTCCAGGACAGCTAAGGCTAGTTGGAAATTTTTTTTTTTTCTTTTTACAAAGATAATTTTACAAACTGTCTATCTGTCTGTGAGTGCAATGCTGCGGCCAGATGACATTGGATCCCCTGAAGTGATGGCTGAAGTTATGGTAGTTGTGAACCATCTGATGTGGATGCTTGTCCCGAGCAGCGGGAGTTCAACGAGTTCAACGGTTTCCTAAAGGGGTGTGTGTGTGTGTGTGTGTGTGTGTGTGTGTGCGCGCGCAAAGAATGGGTAGGACAAGAGAGGCAAGGAAGGAAGCCACGTCTGTTTGTCTGATCAAGGCCTCATTTATTTGAAATTTTTACACAACTATATAGGGAGAAGGCAGGAAAGGGGGAAGGTTAATTTACTGCTGCAGAAGATAACAAAATTGGTTTATGGTTTGAGATACCTCCTGCAAGATACCTCAAGAATGTTTCCTTAAGTTGTCTCAAGGATGCTCCAAGACTAATGAGCAGATGTTCTCACATTAATCTATCACCCATGACCTAGGGTCCTAGTGCAGCTGTTGGTAACGTTTCCACTAATTGGCACTGGCTCCACTAAATGACTTTGGCTTCAGTAAATAGCTTTGGCTCCCGGCAGGTGCTGGGAACTGAACTCAGGTCCTCTGGAGGAGCAGTGTGTGCTTTTAGCTGCTGAGCCATCCTGACATCCTCCCAAATTCCATTTTGAAGGTAAAGCCATGGAGATTTACTCAAGAGTGGAAATTGCATCAGGAAACAAGGAATCTAGGAAAACACCCAAAACCACTGGGGGAAAAAAATGCAAATTCCAGTTACAGAAGATAGAAAAAAACCTGGGTGAAGGGCAGGTTATGGCGAGGCCTGGCCATTTATCCAGTGTGATTCTGAGTAAGACATGCTGTTCCTCTAACTCAGGTCCCTCACTTCTGAAATAGCTGTAGCTGTTGCTTCCTTGCAAGGGGGAGGTGAGAAAATGAGCAAGATCATGAACTCAAGACTCACCTGTTTTTTGCTAGATATCCACACAACAGCAGGCTACAGAGGTAGGGATAAGAGGGAGCGGTGGAAGAAGGTGGGTAGAGTGACTGGGAACCAAATCAAAGCAAGCAAGAAAGAGATTCACTGCCTGTAGACCAACATTCTGGCCTCTCTCTGTGTCTCCTTTTAGTCTTTAATCTTTTCTTCCTCTAGGGTCTTTGATTCTGATGGGGAGAGTTAATGGCCGATGATAAGTGACCATATTCCCACAGGTTTGAAGTTTGCAGAACATGTCATGGATACTGTATTAGTCAGGGTTTTCTGGAGGAACAGAACCGAAGAGATGAATATATCAAATTAAATCAGTTAGGGTCTGGATGAATTGAATTAAATCAGTTAGGGCCTGGATGGCTGGCCAATCCAGCAAAAGTCAAGTCATCTGCTTTCTGTCACTCTACCATGGTAGCTCTTCCGGCATCAATTAAGGCAATTAGGACAGTTCTGCAGGAGAGGCTCCCTACTTAGGTAATTTTTAAGTTGTGACAAGTTGACATTAAAACCAACCATAATAGCTACTATCTCCACTGAATCCAGCCTTGAAATACAGCTGTTTTCAGAACAATAATGAAATTCTTAAGACCAAAACATACCCTGAGGCAGAGGCAGGCAGATCTCTGTGAGTTTGAGGCCAGCTTGGTCCCAGGACAGCCAGGGCTACACAGAGAAAACCTGTATCAAACAAATACAAAACGACAAACAAAAAAGTCAGGCCATACACCCAACCAGATATAGTTGGGAACAAATACATATGTACATACATATGTATTTATGTATATATATGTATTTTATGTATATATATATGTACGTATGTATGTATATTTAGTCTATAGTAGAAAAGTGACTAGAGAAGGTCTTGAACTTCATGTCCCTTCTTCTGTCCTTGACTGGACATGTTACCCAGCTGTATGTCACTGTGCTCAGTCATGACAGAAACTGTACCTCCCATTCTCTTCCTCTAAAAGGGCCCAGCAGAGACTGAGGCCCTGGCTGGCGTGACCCCTGGAGTAGCATCGGTAGGGGGCCTAAGAAGCACCTCAGTCGTTTTACCTCCTCTGAGGTATCCCACGCATCCCACCCTGTTCTATCACTCCTCCAGTTCTTCCTCCACTCCCGGAGGTAACGCATGAGGTGACTGGAGCCTTAGAAAGGGCCTCACACTTCAGGTCACACCACTAGAAAGAACAGTCCAGCTCTGAGGTCTGTCTCCCAAGGGGACTTCCTGCACCACGTGTTCCTCTTAAGACTGGAAGAGGGAGCAGCTGGGCTCAAAACACCAGGTGCCAGGACACAGCTGTTCCCTCCCTGTATCCCTCCACACCCAAGCAAGCTGAGCTGGGTGGACGCTGAGGGGGGTGGGGCCGCCTTGCGCTCTCCAGGGATGCTCTACCCTCCCGCAGGCAAATGCGTCGGGAAATCGATTCTGAGCAGCAGTTCTGACTGATGAGAGCTGTCACTGACCGGTTAGAGGTGGTGAGTGGGAAAGCATGGTGTGCAGGCATGGGGTCAGAGTATGCAGAGGGAGGGAGAACTGGAGACAGTAGCAGCGCCCATGGAGGCCAGAACAGGCAAGCTGTAGCACCTAGCCCCAGTCCCACCCCCCCAGCCCCCCAACCCCGGGCTCCGTTCCCATTTGTGCTAACACTGAGCGAACCCCTGGGTCTTTCCAGGAGAACAGGCTGCCCCAAAGTAAAACTATTCCACCGAGTTGAAGGCTGGGGAAGCGCAGAGGTCTAAGCTGAGGAGGAGACTTCCTTTAGTGGGCTTTGCCAGGTGAGACGGGAGGTACAGTCTAGAACGTGGACTCCCTTTGCAGGTCCAGGTCCTGCCATGCCGGTGCCACTGCTCCCATTGCTGCTTCGATCGCTGCTGTCCCGCCTGCTGCTGCCTGTTGCCCGCCTGGCCCGCCAGCACCTCCTGCCCTTGCTGCGCCGTCTGGCCCGTCGACTGAGCTCCCAAGACATGCGTGAGGCTCTGCTGGGCTGTCTGTTGTTTGTCCTCAGCCAGCAACAGCCACCGGATGCTGCAGAGGCCTCCAAAGTGGACCACTCTCAGAGGAAGGAGAGATTGGGCCACCGGAAGTGAGGCCGTGGGTCCTGGAAGCAGCAATGGTCATCAAAGTACTTTTGGAGTGGGTCAATCCAGGCATCCGCACTTGACTGCTGGACGCCCAGTCGGGGAAGACAGAGTAGGGGCTAAGTACAAGAGGGTTCTGACCTGAACAGCTCCCACTCCCCTAGGACCTATCTGACCAAGGTTGTGTTGTTCGCCCCGCCCTGCCCCACTGCAGCTCCCTCTGCCTCACCTCTGGCCTCCAGGTTGGACCTGCAAATGGAGGTATCAAGGTCAGTTAAGAAAGGATGTTTAACCTAGACTCAAGACAATCCAACTAAGAGTTGATATTTAAATTCAAACTGGCCGGTCTACCTTAAAATAATAGGACCTTGGTTCCCTTTTGAGACATGAGATAGACATCCTCTCAAGGATTGGTCTGCAGCATGTAGTCAATAAACAACGGTGTGTTATTATTATTATTGTTTGTTTGTTTGTTTGTTTGTTTGTTTTTGAGACCTCGGACTCCTGAGGATGATCTTGAGCTGACTTCAAGAGTGGCAGCATTACAGGCATACACCACATCCAAGGCCAGTTCGTGTGGAACTGGGGCATTGAACCCAGGGCTTTATGAATGCTAGGAGAGCACTCCACCAGTCGAGATAATTTTGGGCCCCGTGTTGGGTGGCTGGGGTGTTTCGGAAAGTCTCACGGCCCCCACGCTTGCACTGTTTTTCTTCGGGGAGCTGAAGAAAGGGTGGGCGGGTTGGCGACACTTCCTTGGGATAACTTGTTCCATCTGTCCCTCTCAGACTTCACAACATACAAGTTGTTTGTAGTTGAGTAACTTCATTCAGAATGTCCCACTGTGGCCCAGCGATGGCTTAGATCTGTGTTGCAGGAAGGCTAGCTGGCTGACAGGAAGGAAATTGATCCCTGGTGAGTTTTGGAGACATCTCAGATAGAGGTGGTGGGGGAAAAAAAAACATCGGTCGGCAGGGCGGTGGGCTGGGAAGTAGGGATAAGGATGCCTTTGAGGGACATCATACTATCCTTGAAGAAATAAGATATCACCTAATTATCTCACTTCTTGGGGCTGGAGAGATGACTCAGCAGTTAAGAGCACTGGCTGCTTTTCCTGAGGACCTGAGTTCAATTTCCAGTGCCCCGGGGGCAGCTCAACAGCTCTCTATAGATAGCCCCAGTTCCACACTCTCCTCTGCCCTCCAAGGGCACCAGACACAGGCCTGTATAGATGCATACTCAGGCAAAACACCTGTACACAAAAAATAAAATACTAATTTTTTAAAAACTTACTTTATTTCTCACTCCTCAGTAGAGGCCTTGGGCGCTTTTGTGCACGCACGCATGCGTGGGTGGGCATAATTTTTCTGGGTCATTTAATTATGATTCCCACACAATAATCCTTCCAGGATTATTATATACCCTTAGCTATAGTGAGAAATACAGGCCCCTGTCCGGTCAGGATCCCCAGTCAAGTTGGGGATCCCCCATACAGGTTCCTACAGAAACTTGAGGCTGGGAAAGCAGTAATCTGAGCTGAGCTGTACCTCCCCCCCCCCCCCCCGACCCAGCGGCTTCCTACAGAGTCCTCAGAAACTAGAGCACGTGCGACCTGTGGGGACAGGTGGATTAAAGGCAGTCCCACCTTGCCTAAGAGGTCCTTCTCAGCCCCACGGCCCCTCCCACTTGGCCTCCGTGTCCCTGATCGCCACTCGTCCAGCGGGGCGGGGCAGGCAAAGGCTGCCCAGTGTGAGGCTGGCTCACTATCGTCGGTGGCGACTCCTCTCTTGCACCGTGCCTGAGACCGGCCAGTTCCGGTCTTGGCAGCGGGCCCCCTCCCCGAGGTGAGGAGGTCGGGAGGGGGTTGGGGTCCCCACCGCTTGGGAATTTTCCTTCTTTGTCCAGCGTCTCCCTCGACAGGCCCGAATGCTCTAGTTTCAGCAGGTGCGTAGGGGCCAGGCACCCGAGGAAGGGAGCAAACAGGTGGTTATAGTGGTGTCCCATCCAGCAGGCCCTTTGAAAAGGAGGCTGTGGCCCAGCGGAGTACAAATCTGAGGAAGGATTTTTTTTTTTTTTCTTTTCTGGGAGTTTGTAAGCCCACAATTGGATTATTAAACGCTTAAATGCTCCGGACCACTTAAAATGTCCCCTGAGTCAGAGACCTACCTGCCAACCAGAGGGTAAGGAGACACAGCCCAGAAATTTGGCTAGAAGCCCATGCTCAGACGGAATGAGCAAGGTCAGTTCTTCTTGAACCCTGACCTGGTATCCACCCTTTGTACACCTCTGCCCTTATTTGAAATTTTGATGTTGGGTGCAGGGAAGACTTGCTCAGTTGGCTCAATCCTCTCAGAGGCTAAGTTTGAAAAAATATATAAGTTTAAAAAGTTTCAAAGCTGTGATGCCATTTATAATCCATCACTGGGGAGGCAAAGGAAAGAACAAATGGCTAGAAATCCTATGTTAAAAAAACAAGGTGCTCCAGGTTAGTGGCACAGCCCTTTGATTTCAGCACTCCTGAATCAGAGGCAGACAGATCTCTGTGAGTTCCAGTCTGGTCTGCCCAGAGAATTCCAGGCCAGCCCAAGCTACATAGTGAAATCCTGTCTCAAAAATAAAGACTGCAAGGTGGCTGAGAATTGGCTCAGAGGTTAAGAGTGGTTATTGTTCTTGTATAGGCCCTAGGTTTGGCTCCCAGTACCCACATCAGGTAGCTCACAGCTGCCTACCACACCAGTTCCAAGGGATCAAAGCCCCCAGGCCTCCATGTGCCCTGCACCCACATGATATACACACATAAATACATAATCTTGAAAAAAACAAACCAGTGTGGATTGGCCCTGAGGAACTGCAGCCAAAGGTAGTTCTCTGGCCTCTGCACACACAGAGTTTGAGCTTGTATTCTTTATGGAGTCTTCCTATTAATTTATTAATTAGTTAATCATTTAACATTTGTTTGTTTGTTTGTTTGTTTAGAGACAGGGTATCCCTGTGTAACAGCCCTGGCTGTCCTAGAACTCATTTTGTAGAGCAGGCTGGCCTAGAACTATCAAGAGAGTTGCCTGTGTGTGTCTCCCAAGTGCTGGGATTGAAGGCCTGCACCACCAAGCAGGGCTGGGATTTTGTTTTAAACAATGACATTAGGACTGAGGAGCGTGCTCAGTGGCTGAGTATGTCACTAGCATGTTCCAGGCCCCAAACTTGACCAACCAAGTATCACGAAACAAACAAGAGCAAAACAAAGAAACAACACATATTGCCTTAAAATTCCTCTTTGTTGTTGAATCTTTTCGGTGTCTCCTTAAGTTTGGCCTGTTAGGCAAGTGTTTCCCTGGGCTTTTCCTGGTTCCTTTTCGACGACAAGGCCACAGAGATTTGATCACAAACAACAGAGAACTTGAGACAGAGCTTGTGACAACCTCCCAGGCCGGAACAAACACTGTTGCAGCAAACACAGATGGCTCTTGCTAACAGCTGAGAGAAACAGAAGTGGGGAGAGATAGGGCTGTGAGCGTGGTATAAAGCAAGCCTACCTTCTAAAGGGGGGAGGACGGGGAAGAAGTGATAGAGCAAGCCAGTCCCAGCTAGGGTGGAGAAAGGCACACAAAAGTGAGCATTGGCTCAGGTAGACCAGCCCTTCTAACTCAACATTAGAGACAGGGAGGAGGGAACTCTGAAATGAGGAGGAAGGTGAAAAAGGCCTGGTGGACCTGCCTAAGAATCTTTCCAGGCCCAGGCCTGTGTGAGCTGGTTCTCAGGGCTGTCCAGCAGAGGGCCTGGGCCAGGGCACTGGCAACTGGCTGAGGCTGCCTGGGGTGTGGGTGCTGGCTGGAGCCCAGGCCAGGAGCTTGCCAAATGGGCTATTTTCCAATAATAACAGGCCTGGCTGTGGCCATCTGCATAGCCGGCCAGGCCCCAGTGGGCGTGAGGAAAGGCACCAGCCTTTCTCCTGTCTGATGGGGACCCTCACCACTTCCCTCCTTTCCTCCTACTTCCAGCCCCCTTTGCACACAAGGACTGGGCACCGATCCCCATCCTGGCCATGCCTAGTGGATCTCTCCGATAGTTGTGCCAGCTACTGCTCTAGGGCCAGAGCTGGGAAAGGAAAGTGGGAGTGAGGCAGGGGGCCAGCGGAAGAAGGGAGGCAAAGGCAGGGGAGAGACAAACAGAGGACCAGGGATCTGGTGTTGTGGCCGGACATGAGGCCATTCTTAAGACATGGGATAGCGCCCAGAAAAATACCACCCAGGCCCCACTTCCTGCCCTCTGTTTGCATGGTGCTGGTGGGGAGATGTGTCATCGCAGTGGGAGCAGGAAGGCTGTCTCCCCACAGTAGCTTGGGAGAACCCACTGCCCTATGTAGAGTCAGGCACCTCCTAAGGGCCCCAACTTTCTCTGGGGACAATGATTGCACCTTTCCCCCCTATGATGTTAATACTGATAATTGTTAATTAGTTTAGATGACTTCTCTGGGGACAGGCTCCTTAGGGAGGTAGGGTGAGGCAGCCAAGCCTGGAAAGGATGATCTCTCCTCCCCAGTTTCTGGGTCACCCTACAGTAGGGAGTGCTACTGGAGGACAAGCAAGCGAGCGAATAGGAATAGGTCCTTCCCCCTTTATGGCAAAAAAAAAAAAAAAAAAAAAGAATCCTTGCCCTCCCCTAGAGGCACATGATGGCCTCCCTCCCTCCACTAGCCATCCCAGAATGTGGACGTTAACTTCTAGCCTAAAGGGTTATCTTCTCGGGTTGGGACAGTGAAATGCCGGCTAGGACAAAGGGATGATCTGGACGTGACGATTTTCTTCCTGGCTCCTTCTCCAGTCTCCAGCTGTGTTTCAATTTTCCTAGTGGCCTCAGGGTTGTCCCCTATGCAAACAGCCTTCAAGGCCAAGTTGTTGGGGGAGGGCGAGGAGGGTTAGGACGAGGGAGTTTTTGTTGTGGAGAGTGTGCCTGTCTGCGAGGGTTGGAGAGAAAACAAAACACAACCCTGCCTACGTCCGGGTTCCAGAACGATTAAGTCTGAGGTATCCCACCGGGGTAAGGGGGCGGAAAGTCTTCTTGAAGGGAAAAGGAGGAGTGGAAAGGAAGAAGGGTGTATTTGAGGGGGTGCTCAAAGTAAAACGGTGGAGTTTGAGTGACGGCGTGGGCGGGGTTCGGTGAGGGATAACGGAACACCTGAGGTGGAGTGCGGCTGTGGGGGCGTGGGGGCCTGTGTGAGCAGAGGACCTGTCTGAGCAACAGTCCCGCCGTGGAATGTGTGGGAGTTAGCGCAGGCTCAGCGCCGAAATTAGGGGTACCCAGTGGGGGACCGTGCCCCCTCCCAGGCTCGCGTGTTCTAGGGACGGTCGGGAAGGGGCCAGAGATGCTCCGGCCGCCGCAGCGGGCGGCCCTGGCAGGGTTTCAGGGGGTCGATCAACTGTTGAGGGGGGGCGGCGAGGAGCCCGGGGGCGGGGCCAGGGCGGCGGCTGTCGCCGGGGGAGGTGGCTCGCAGGGAGGGCGGGCCCTGCAGAGGGCGGGTTTGAAAGCGCTCGGGCGGGCGCGGGAAGCTCCGGCTGGTCGAGCGCGCAGATTTCCTCTCGGGCGGTGACCTTCTCCAGCAGGTGCTCGTAGGGCCCGGGTGGGACGTGCTGGGCACTCCGGGGCAGAGAGTGGTGTGTCCGGCCTGCCACGAGGGCAAGGGAGGCCCGGCCTGCCAGCTTTCGCCACCGCGACAGGGACTCGGGGTGCGGCCCCCACGCGGCGCGTGCTGTGCAGCGCAGCACGTGGCGCGCATGGGCCTGGCTCTGGGTAGGGGGTGGTCCTTTTGTGGGGACCCGGGTCTAGTGGGGCACAGGACAGACTGGCTTCTGGGCCTGAAAGCGACTGTCGCTATAGTGACCTCCGCAGGGGGTCGGCGAGTGAGCGGTCCGATGCTACCGCTCCCGTAGGAACTGGAGAGAGGGGTTGCTTTGCCTTCTGCCCCGAGGCCGGAGGATGGGGATACCTCAATACAAATGGAAGTTGGGGGGTGACCCTTTACCGACTAAACTCCTGTCCGTGGCCTCCCTTTTTTGGGCGCGTCCTCATTTACTACACACAGAGTGAATGAGTGACAAGATCAGGAAGGACTGCAAACTGGGGGTCCGGGTGGATGAAGGCTTGTTCCAACCCTGTGCTGCTGGCTGGTCAGCCCCCTCTTCTTGATTGACCTTCCCCTTTCAGTTAGTCTTGTCCTTCCTGTGTGAGCTTTGCCTGCAGTAATGTATTTGTGATGGAATGGCTGTAAGGTGCCGTGAACCTGAAATAATGTTACGTGGGGCTGAGAAGGACCTGAATCTCCCAACTTGTTTTAACCCCTTCAACAAGAGCAGAATTCCCCTCCTGGAAGTCTACAGGGCTAGCTGGTTAGCCGCATTAATTTCACCTTTCCCACCCCAGAAGGAATCTAGAATAATCTGTACATTGAGTATTTATTGATGCTGGTTCCCGCACTCACTAGCTCTGCAGGTTTTGTCAAGTGATGCAACCTCTTTGAACCTCAGTTGGCCCCATCTGTTTAGTAGAAACTGTACAGTGCTAGCTTCTGGGCAGCTGGAAGAGGGGCCGTCTGCATATTGCAACTAAGGACTCTGATGTAGCAAAAGCTATGTTGAGAAACTGACATATGAGAAGTGTTGGGACCCTAGGACATGGAAGGGCTCAGGTTGGGCCTGGTTTTCAGGGCTTACCATCTCTGCAGGTCAAGGCATGGCTGAAATGATGCCAAAGGCCCTCAGCTGCTATCAGATCCCTGGACAGACAAAAACAAAGCACCTAGGCAGGAAATGGAATGTTAGGATGTGGGCAGGACCCAAGAGCTGCCCATGGCTTTAGCTGGAGCCCAAGAGAGGAGCGGGGATTGCTGCAAGTAGGGGAGTGTGTGGGTGCGTGCGTGTGTGTGTGTGTGTGTGTGTGTGTGTGTTTGTGTACCGAAATAAGTACTTGGACAAGCCTACTCCAGTTTTCTGAAGGAAGACTGTTAGCTCTCTTCTCTCTGGCTTGAGGATACATTCACTTTTGCTGGTGTTTGGGAAAGATGGAGTGCTGTGCTGAGGATCATCTGTGTGTGGTGGGGGTCCCTTCCCTACTATCTAATAGAAACCTGAGTCCTCAGGCTCTCCCCAGATCCAGCAGAGCCCTCTTGTCCTAGGAGCCTTCTGACTCCATCTGGAGGTGGGTGGCTTTGCTGCCTAGGACTGAGGGGAAGGAAGACCTTTGGACAATCTGGGGTTCGCCTATAGAAGGGTAGAAGAGCCATTGGGTTGGGTCAGGGTGAACAGCTGTTTGGGTGGGTGCAGCTGTTTGCCGCACCTGAGGCAGACCTGACTGCCACAGGCTTAGCTCCCCTGCTGAGTCTTGGGGTGTCTTATCTTCCAGCTACAGGGTGGCCCTTTATCTGTCGCAGCTTCTCTGGTGCTTCCAGCTTCTGCAGCTTCTGGGCTTGTGAGACTCTGCTGAATTGGGGCCCCTTGAGGCCTGAGGGATTCTCTCCTGATAAGCCTTTGCCACCTTTTTCACTCTGGACCCTCACCCAGGACCCAGCCTTCTTCCTGAGTCTGAGCTAGGACCCCCTGCTGGGGACCACCCAGGTTCCTTTGACTCTAACCTTCACACCACCATAGACTCTACGAATTTGGTGAGTGATGAGACAGGGAGCAAGAGCAGCCTGCCCCAGGCAAAGAAATAGCAGTCTGAGCTGGGTCCCTGTCAGGGTGTGCCTTGTATATTCTGGTCCTGCTTCCCTACAGCAGGAAAACTATTTAGTCCACTGGTGATAGGGTGTCTCCCCTATGTGAGTGGGGCACAGAGAGGGATGCTGAGGAGTTGGCTAGGAGCTTTGGGAACACGATGTTAGGGCCTGTGTACCACTTTTCCAGTTTTCCTTCAAGGTCACTGTCAGAAAGGGGAAGAAGACAATGGCTAGGGACTGACAAAGGAACTGGCAGGCTGGGGTGGGGGTGGGGGGGTTGTAGGTAGATAGAAAAGAACTTTCTGGGACTTGGGGTCAAAGAAAGGAACTTGTCTGGCTATAGAGGGGCCACATCCACTCCCACCATTATGAAATGTATTGTTGGAAAACTGGTTGAGAACTCAGGAAGCCCCGGGGCAGTGGTTGGAAAGAAAGGCTTCGAGACTGCCAGCAGAGCTCAGAGTCCCTGTTACTCCAGGAATTGGTCTGGGAAGGTGCCCCCCGCTACTGCTTTGATTGAGTACTGTGGGGGGGGGCACCCTGGAAAGTGAGAGCACAGACTTACAGCAGGCCCCACAACCTGCATTTCTGCATATCTGTTTGCTGCCTCGCCCTTTCTCTTCTTTCTTTTTCCCTATGCTGTCTCCTCCCCCTTGCCTCTGTCCTCCCTCTCTCTTGGTCCACTGTTATCACTGTCCACCCCTTCCCCTCCTCCCCCGGCCCCTTTCATCTCTCTTCTGTCTTCCCCTGCTTCTCAGTCATGCGTCCTCCTCCTCTCCTGCTCACCACCCTTCAGTTTCCAAGCTTATAAACTGCTTCTGCTGCTGGATAAAAATAGCGGTGGCAGCGGCCAGGCTGGCAGCCAGGTGCAGCCCAATCAGGCAGAGATGACAGGACCGGCTTGCTGGGGCCAAAGGCCAGATGGGGTCTGAGTTGAGTGGTCCTGAGCCTACAGGACCTTTCCTTGCCTGTTCTGTGAGCCCAGCCTTACCTCCGAGAGTCTGAGAGGGGCCCAGGACAGTGTGGAAACAGAACCAGACAGTGCCTCAATATTCCTTTATCCCCAGCAAGAGCCAAAGGGAGGGAGCTTCCAGCCAGACACAGCCGAGAACACTGGAACCATGACAACCAGCCACCAGCCTCAGGACAGGTACTGGGCGGCCAGGAGCAGGGTTGTGGGGGTTGCAGGGAGGGGAGCTGGTGTGGGAATCTTGGGAGTGGGTCTCTGGGGCTGGGGGGGCGTAGATGCAGTATTTGGGACTTGAGGTTACCTCTCTCCTAACTATGCTCCCGGCCCTGGTGGTTCTTTGTCCAGTCTACATGGGGTGGGGAGCATGCATACCATACCTTGGCTGGGTGCTGGTTAGTGTACCTGCAGGGCTAGGTGAGCAGCAGTCCCCTGCTGGACTGTGTCACTGTTTCTACTGTGGCTCTGCAGCTAGACATCAGCTTCCGGTTCCTCCCACCATCACTGTGGGGAGATACTTGGCTGCCTCCCTCATTCCAGAACACATCTGGAAGGCCTGCCCTGTCCCTGGGGGTTGCCCCGGGGCCACTGCCTTGTGTGACCTCGGCCCACCCCGCTCTCTGGCCTGACCCTTCTAGCCTCCTGCCTCTGCAGCCTGTGCACTTCCTCAAGCTAGTTAAGGTCGGGAATGTGTGTTATGATGGGAGAGCCTCCTGAGTCAAGTTCTCCAGAGGGGCTGAGGCTTGTGGGAGTTCACAAAGCCAATGCTACCACTCCTTCCTCTTTGTGCTTTCAGTCTCAGAACCCCTCGCAGCTCCCCTACTCACTATTTCTCTCTCATGCCAAAGGCTATGTAACTAGGCCCATTCTGACTGGAGAGTTAGCTTCATTTTTCTGGGACTGTTTCTCCACCTGTAAAATCTGGTGAGAATACCAGTCTTCTGTGAGTGTTTTTTGTTGTTGTTGTTGTTTTCTTTTTGGTTTTTCGAAACAGGGTTTCTCCATGTAGCCTCGGCTGTCCTGAACTCACTTTGTAGACCAGGCTGGCCTCAAGCTCACAGCAACCCACCAGCCTCTGCCCTCCTGAGTGCTGGGATTAAAGGTGTGCACCACCATGCCAGGCTTTCTGAGTGTTTTCTGAGGGGAGGGATTGTAATTGTAGGCCCCAGCGACCTGCCTCCTTTCCTTCCCAGGCTGCCTGGTGCCCTGGCCCAGCCCATCAGCATTCTATCCACTTTATTGCCCTGCTGCCTGGATCCCTAGTCCCTTCTCTGTCCTCCTGTCCTATATGACCTTCCCTTTGAATTTTGCCTTCCATCTGAGCCATCGAAACAAGTTTTGAGCATCTTGACCTCAAGGGGAAGGGATGAGGGCTTTGAGGGCCTCAGACTGGCCGACTTGGGTTACTCGCTCTGGCTAAGCTCCAGTTCCCTGGCTAGATTTGTTCCACTGTATTGGGCCTCCCCTCTACCATCTCTGCGAAGCCTGTGGATGCTGGCTAAGGGGAGGGTATTTTGCCAGGTATAGGCAACTATAATGGGAGAGACGAGGGCTGCTAAGCTTACAGGCAAGGACTGTCCAAAGTCCTTGGCCTGGTGCCCTCATGCTCAGAACCAGATGGCATCTATAAGCCGTAGTCTATCTGCCCTGCCCTAGGTAATTTGGCCTACAAAACTGGTTCTATCTAGTTAGAAAAAAAAAAAAGAAAGAAAGTAAACTAAACTAAAGCTCCCCACTTCCCAGCCCCCTCAGGCACCCAGTCCAGCTAGCCCATTGAGTGTTTCTTGACCTCAGTTCTTCAGGGAAGTCCACGGTACCCGCTTACACAGCCTAATTATTTCCAGCTTTTGAGGTTTTGAGGTAGGGATGGGAGAGGCTCGTGTTCGCCCTCTTTTATCTACCCACCCATCTTTAGCAGACATTCCAAAGCCATCTCTGGATGTGTGGGTCACACTGCTTCCCAGACCTAGGGGTCCTCTAAGTCTTCTCCCCTAAGACTTGAGAACAAGGGTTCTGTCACCCATGTCATTCAGAACTGTGCCACTGGCCCTTTTCCCTTGACCCATCTCACATCCTGCTCTGTACCCTAGGACCCACACGTCACCTCACACCTCTATAGAAGACACATGTACATGGACACACACAGTGAGGACAGCTAGGAAGATGGGGAGGGAGTGGGCTGGTAGATCACACTGCCTTTTTCTTATGCAGGTATAAGGCAGTATGGCTTATCTTCTTCGTGCTGGGCCTGGGGACATTGCTCCCCTGGAATTTTTTTATCACAGCAACTGAGGTGAGGCTGGAGGGGTGTGGGGTTCACTAGGTACCAGAAGACATGTCCCCTAGGCTTTTCCAGGCCTGGTTCTGTGCCTCCAGGCACAGAGAGGGACAGAGGTTCCAACACTCACCCTCTGCAAAACCTCACAGTATTTCAAAAACCGCCTGGACCTGTCCCAGAATATGTCCTCGGTCACTGACAGAACAAGCAAGGACACCGAGGCCTTGGCTGACCCCACAGTGTCCTTGCCAGAGGGACGCCACTCTCTCAGTGCCATCTTCAACAATGTCATGACCCTGTGCGCCATGTTGCCCCTGCTGCTCTTCACCTGCCTCAACTCTTTTCTGCATCAGAGGTGAGCATCTCCAGCCCGATGCCCATCCAGCTCCCCTTTCCTCAGCCCCAGGCCACTGTCCTGCGCCCAGGCCCTCCCTGACCCCCACCCCACCACTGCCTCTCCTACAGGATCTCTCAGTCTGTTCGGATCTTGGGCGGCCTGGTGGCTATCCTGCTACTGTTCCTCATCACTGCCGTCCTGGTGAAGGTGGAGATGGAGGCTCTGTCCTTCTTCATCATCACCATGATCAAGATCATGCTCATTAATTGTAATCGAGGGACAGTGTGGGCAGCTCTGGGCCTGGCTTGAGAGTTGGGGCAGAGATAAGGGTGGTTGGGGTTCAGGCTCCCTGGGAACCCAACTGCCAGCCCCTCATCCTTGCTGACATGCTGTCCGCACTGTTCCCCAGCATTTGGTGCTGTTTTGCAAGCCAGCCTTTTTGGTCTGGCTGGTGTCCTGCCGGCCAACTACACAGCCCCCATCATGAGTGGCCAAGGCCTGGCTGGCTTCTTCAGCTCTGTGGCGATGATCTGTGCCATTGCCAGTGAGTCATGCTTCCCGCTCGACGGTTGTGGGGAGGCAGGGCAGGATGGTTTGGATCGATGCAGTATAACTTATCTTGTCCACTATCTGCCCTAGGTGGTTCCAAGCTGTCAGAAAGTGCCTTTGGCTATTTCATCACAGCCTGTGCAGTTATTGTTTTAGCTATATTGTGTTACCTGGCTCTGCCTCGGATGGTGAGCAGATAGAGGAAGCTGGGCTTTGGGGAGTGGGGGGAGGGGAGGGCAGGATTTCTGTCAAAGCAAGGGTGTCCTGAAACTGAAACGCTACACGTTGGGATTTGGGGGATGTCCCTGACTCTACTTTCTTCACATCCCTTGCCGAACAGGAATTCTATCGCTATTACGTGCAGCTCAACCTGGAGGGGCCTTCAGAGCAGGAGACAAAGTTGGATCTCATCAGTAAAGGTCTTAATTGCTAAAGGAAGTCCTGTGGGGTAGCACGAGGGAAGGGGGTGGTCGTGGTATGTTGTGTTGCAGCTGTGAGCCAAAGAAGGGCAGAGCGTCCATGAGTAAGGTGTAAAGTAGGTGTGAGAGCTGGGAAAGATGACACAGAGACCGTGGGGGGACTTGAAGTGTCCTCAGTTGGTAGAGTGTTTGCTCAAAGTCCTGAGTCTGAGTTATGTCCTGGGCAAGGTGGTGTACATGTAATCCTAGCATTGGGAAATAGAGACTGGAGGATCAGAAGTTTAAGGTCATCCTGATTCAAGGCCAGTCTAAGCTCCATAAAATCTTGTCTCGATGAGGAAAGTAGGCGAACTTGGATTTCCCTAAATGTCTCAGGCATTCGTACTGGGGTATCAGTTTCAGAGGGAGCACAGACAAACAGGAGTCTCCTGGGGAAGCGTTAGCCCCCAGGGGCTTGAGTCAAGGGCATTTAGGTCTGTGGGGTGTTGGGAGTATAACTGGACCAGCCAGTTAAGGGTCTGTCCTCCCCAAAACTTCAAGATCCTTTTACAACCTCTCACCCAACAGGAGAGGATCCAAGAGGAGGAAGAGAGGACTCTGGGGTGCCGGCCCCCAGCTCTCCACCCACCAGCAGAAATCACTCTATCAAAGCCATACTTAAGAGTGTACGTGGGGCTGGGGTGTCCTGCCTACTCTTCCTCGCCCCTTTCTCTCTTGCTATGTCTACCCTTACACCACCTCCATTTCTGATGTAAGACTGGGCTTTCTCCTGTCTTCCTGTGAATGCGCTCTGTGTGTGTTCTTTAGTTTTGTTTGAGACAGGGTTTTGATGCAGCCCTGGTTGTCCAGGAACTCACTCTCTATTAGACCAGGCTGGCTTTGGACTCAGAGATCAGTCTGTCTCTGCCTCCCGGGTGCTGGCATTAATTGCACACAAACTGGAAACCTAGATGAATCTCTTCTCCTCCTCCAGATCTCCGTCCTGGCTCTGTCTGTCTGCTTCATCTTTACAGTCACCATTGGGTTGTTCCCTGCTGTGACTGCTGAGATCAAATCCAGCATTGCAGGCACAAGTGCCTGGGGTAAGGGCCCCTGCTCCCTGGGATGGATTCAGCCAGAGTACAGAGCAGGGCCAAGGGTGGAGTGTGGGCCACCTGGGGACCTTTCTGCCCAGCTGGATCTTCATGGGCCTAGTCACCTGCTATTGGCTGGAAACATCTTGTTTGATGGACAGTGAGGAGGCTGAGGCCCAGAGAGGGCCAGGTGCTAAGTCCAAGTCTCTCTTCTAGAAAGCTATTTCATACCCGTGGCTTGTTTCTTGAATTTCAATGTCTTTGACTGGCTAGGCCGGAGCCTCACTGCTGTTTGCATGTGGGTAAGTAGAATATGGGCTATGGGACCTGTGAGATCAAAGTGTCCAACTGAGGCCAAGAGGGCCCCCCTCAAGAAAGTGTCATGGTGGGGTTAGGGGTGTGGCTCTGTGGTAGAGGGCTTGCCTAGCATGCATGACCCCTGGGTTCCACTGCCAGAAGGGGGGGGGGCGGTGGGAAGAGAACTATCCTTTTCAAATCTACATGTAACTTACGTGTAACTTAATGTGTATAATTCCTTTTATTTTTTGGGGTGGGGCATGGTTTCTCTGTGTAGATCTGGCCATCCTGGAACTCACTCTGTATAGACCAGGCTGGCCTCAACCTCACAGAGATCTACCTGGCCCTGCCTCCCAAGTGCTGGGATGAAAGACATACACCACCACTTTTTTTTTTTTTTTTTTTTAATTTTTGAATTATTATGGTTTTTGTTTTTGTGAGACAGAGTCTTACCATGTAGCTCTGGTTGTCCTGGAACTTGCCATGTAGATGGCTGGCCTCAGAGATCCATCTGCCTCTGCTTCCCAAGTGCATGTGCCACCATGATCCAGCTAAGACTTCTAAATTATGTGTATGTGGGGATGTATGCATGTGAGTGCAGTGCCCACAGAGGCCAGAAGAGGGCATCAGATCCCCTGGAGCTGGAGTTACAGGAGATGGTGAGCTGCTCTGTGTGGGTTCTGGGAACTAAACCTGGGTCTTCTGAAAGAGGACTCACTCTTAGCTACTGAGCCATCTCTCCAGCCCATGTGTACAGTTCTTAGTTCTTAGGTATGTAACATGGCACATGTGTGCACAGGTGTGTATCTACCCAGATCAGAAGATACATTTTAGTATTTGGAACCCAGAGCACGTCATAAGTCAAGTATGGTAGTGAACACCTGAAATCCCAGCTAGAAATAGGAGGATCAGAAGTTCAAGGTCATTCTTGGCTATATAGTGAGTGAGCTTGAGGCCAGCCTGGGATACATGAAGACTTGTCTCAAAAAGAAAAAAAGAAACCTTTGGTATTCCACGGGCACCACTGTACCCCTGGCAATCAGTACCCCCCAAAAGTAACCTGGCCTAGTAGTTTTATCAAAGTCCCTAGGGGCCCCGAGTAGACAGTGAGGGCTGGCATGGGCTGAAGCATTGCCTGTTCCTTGCAGCCTGGAAAGGATAGCTTCTGGTTGCCGGTTTTGGTGATCGCCAGGATCGTGTTTATCCCCCTGCTGATGCTATGCAATGTGAACGTGAAACAGCGCTACTACCTGCCTTCCATCTTTAAGCATGACGCCTGGTTCATCGTCTTCATGGCCGCCTTTGCCTTCTCCAATGGCTACCTTGCCAGCCTCTGCATGTGCTTCGGGCCCAAGTGAGTGGGGCCATGAGGGACTTGGGTGACATCAGGCAGGATGAGAGTCCCAGGGGTGTCCCTCAGTAGAGGGAAATGGCAGTAGAAGAATCTTTCATGTCAAAGCTGTGAGGAGCTTGTGGTGGCGGAAGGTCCAGCTTGGGGGTCGGGAAGGGCTGTGGAGGTAAGGGCTTCCAAGTGTGCTCATGCTGGCTTGTGGGGGGAGTGAGGCAGGGCGGAAGATATTTCCAAGACACATTCCCCCAAGAAGTAGGCTGGGATTGGAAATTTAGGAAGGGATGTGGGGGCAGGGCAGGGCTTGGCTCTCCTAAGATTTCCCTGCCTTCCTTCTTTTAGGAAAGTCAAACCAGCCGAGGCAGAGACAGCAGGAAACATCATGTCCTTCTTTCTGTGTCTGGGCCTGGCTCTGGGCGCTGTATTATCTTTCTTGTTAAGGGCACTGGTGTGACCACATGGGCACAGAAGGACTGCACTGCCTGCCTGCTTCCTGCTCATTTCCTTCCCTGCCCGGGATGAGCAGGGGTCCAGAGGTTTGCTCTTCTAGCCGACCTCTACTTTCTTCTGGCCTGTGCTTGGCCCCGATGGACTTGGGATTGAGGGGTCAGAATGGCAAGGGGCACGGTCTCTGACTGACATCTCTGACTGGTTCCTGCTTGAGCGAAGCACAAGAGACTCCCAGGCAGAGTGAGATCCGTCCTCTGACAAGGATGGGGTGGAGGTGGATGGCTGACTGCCGTATCATGTGATCTTATGTTCCCTCTCCCTCCTTTTTTTCTGTGCCTGTTCTCCATGTCCCTGCTCCTTGTCATTTTACTGCCTTTTTTTATACTGACAGAAACCAGGTGCGTTCAGAGGCTCTCTGATTAAATAAACTTTTTTTTTTTTTCCTCCGCAGCTCCCTGTGTGTCCTCCCAAGGTTTAACTCCTTGGAGAGGAGAGGAGGCTGGCAGCCTGAGTCTAGGGGTTGAGCATGACCCAAGGTTGGGCCTGGGTATAGGGAGGATAGAGCCTTTTAGTCTCAGAGGGACTGCAGTGCCCCCTACTGGGGCCACAGAGAATAAACAGGCCTGGAGCCAAGAAACTCCAGACTGTGGCCCAGATCTTGAAAGACAAGTTTTCTCTTCTGCTCACTCTCTCCCCCCCCCCCCCCCCGCCACCCCAAGTCCAGGTGTAGTTCAAGTTGTCATCACATTCCATATGTACCTGAGGATGACCTTGTACTGTTCCTCCTGCCTTCACCTCTCCAGTGCTGGTGCCGCAGACATGTACTACCATGTCCTGGATCTAGGGATCAAAGCCAGGGTATTTGTGCATGCTAGGCTGGGAGGTGGCTCGGGCTCTTCCCAGCTGAGCTGCGCCCTAGCCCCTCTTTCTTATTTCAGAGGACTGGACATGGAGGCAGCTTTGGTTGTTTTCTTTGTCTTAACTGTTACCTTCCCCTCCCCCCACAAATGCTGTCCTCAGCCCCTGGAACGAACTCTGCCAAACTGGCCAGCACCACCCCCAGCCGCTGGCCATACTCCCACATCCCTGGGCAGGAAAAGGCAGAGGCCTGGGTTCTCTCCCTTACCTTGGCTCCAGGCCCTGACACCAAAGCCCAGGGCTGCCAGACTTCCTGGAGAACAACGGACCTATGTGTCCTCATGTTGGAGTTGGACCTTCCCATTCTCCAACCACACTGTGGTCTGAGGAAGGGTGGGTTGGGATGGGATGGGAGACTGTCTCAGTGGAGGGGGCACTAGTCCTGGTGCCCCACTGGAGGAGAGAGGAACACCGACCCTAAGCACCCCCCAGTCCCAGCCCTGGGAGGTGGCTCAGGCTTTTCCCAAAGAGCCAGCAACTTTTGCTCTCCTCCCCCACTCCCACCCCCACCCCCCAGGCCCCAGGGCTGTTTGCTCTTTGGTTCTTGACCAGCTGATGGCTACAGAGTTGGCCCAACTCTTGGGACTTCCTTTTTTACAGAAATTTCATTTAAAACAGTGGTTCTCAGCCTTCCTAATGCTGCAACCCCATAATAATATAGTTCCTCTTGTGGTGAGCCCTAGCCATAAAATTATTTTTGTTGCTACTTCATAACTGCAGTTTTGCTGCTGCTATGAATGTAAATTTGTTTTGTGATGGTCTTAGACCCCTCCACACACACACACCAAAGGTCACAACCCACAGGTTAAGAACCGCTGATTTAAACAAAGGTTTCAGACCTTTATGGGTAATAGTGGTTTTTTGTTTTGTTTCCTGAAACAGGGTTTCCCTATGTAGCCCTGGTTGTCCTGGAACTCTAGACCAGGCTGGTCTCGAACTCTGAGATCTGCCTGCCTCTGCCTCCAGAGTGCTAGGATTAAAGGTGTTTACCATCACTGCCTGGCTTGTTTTCAATTCTTTTTATTTTTTAAATCCTGTGCATTGGTGTTTTGCCTGCATGTATGTCTGTGTGAGGGTGTTGATCCCTTGGAACTAGAGTTACAGACAGTTGTAACTGCCATGTTGGTACTGGGAACTGAACCCGGGTCCTCTGTAAGAGCAGTCAGTGCTTTTAACCACTGAACCCTCTGTTTTCAATCTTAATAAGGGCAAGCTTGATGGTGGGTTGGAGGTTAAATGCATCATTGTACCAGGCACTGGAGTCCATCCATGACTAGTTTGTCAAAACCACAAACATGCCTGGGCAGTGGTGGCTTACACCTTTAATCCCAGAGGCAGAACAAGGCAGATCTCTGTGAGTTCGAGGCTATCATGGTCTACAAATTAAGTTCTAGGACAGCTAGGGCTACACAAGGAAACTCTCAAAAACCAAACCAACCAACAACAAACCCAGTGTGAGCTGTTAGAAATGGCCTTCCCATGCTGTCTAGTTCACACAGCCTGTGCCCTGGCCATAAGACAAGCTGAAAATGCAAGCTGAAGTCTCTTCTGCCTGCCCTTAGCTCCACTCACTGGCTTCCTCTTTGCACTGAAACTGGGAGAGGCCTTTCAGCATTCTTCAGCACTGGCAGGCCCCAGGGAACCCGAGTTATTTCCAAACCCTTTCACCTCTTACCCGCAGGTTAGCTCCTGGGTTCCTCCAATCCATACCACGTATGGCCACAAGAAATTAGTGTCATTTTTGTTTTATTTTTGAGACCATTTCTCTGGATGTCCTGGTACTCAATCTCAGAACCTCAGAGATCCTCCTGCCTCTGCCTCCCAAGTGCTGGGAATTACGGTCTGTGCCACCACTGCCCAGACCGTTATTTTTTTCACTAGAGGTCTCAGCATTTTGGAAGAGTGTTCAAGAGCCACCAAGAAGGTTGTTGCTGTGCATTCCCAGCTGGTCTGGCACTGTGTTTCCTGCTGAGGGCTGGGATGATGATGGGGTTGGCAGCACCACAGGGAGATGGGCAGTGGGCACAGTGGGGTCCTCTTCTCTGGGATAGGCACCTACTGCCCCAAAGCTTTCTGACGTCTGGCTGGCTGCCATGAGCTTGTGCAGTTTTCTTTCCCTTCTGCACCCTAGGACGTTTGTAATGTGACATAGCTCCTGTCATTCTCCTCCCCCGTTTTGTTTGTTGAGACAGGGTTTCTCTGTGTAGCCTTGGCTGTCCTTAACTCACTTTGTAGATCAGGCTGGCCTCGAGCTCACAGAGATCTGCTTGCCCCTGCCTCTCCAGTGCTGGGATCACAGGTGCGTGCCACCATGCCAGGCTTCCTGTCACACTCCTACCAGCCATGGGGCTGTTAGGGTTTTGGATGCTGTGCCTGCCTCCTAGGGCTACTCTGAAACTGTTCATGACCAAGTGACACCTGCCCTTCACACCCTCTCGTGCCCTGCCCAGATATGTGGTGGCATTCATTGCTCGTGTCCTTGCGTGTTAGGTTCTCAACCCCAGCACTGACCTGAAGTGGGGCCTGGCGGGGGACACATACATGATTCAGCCACTTTATTATTTGCTGTACCTGAATCACTACTGAAGAAAATGGCTGGGATATAATCATTTCCCCCAAAAGTCTTTTTTGAAAAAAAAAAAAAAATAGTTTACTTTATGTACATTGGTGTTTTGCTCCCATGTATGTTGAGTTGCAGACAGTTATGAGCTGTCATGTGGTTGACTGGGAATTGAACCCGGGTCACTCTGGAAAAGGAGCCAGTGCTCTTAACCACTGAGCCATCTTTCCAGCCCCGAGTCCAGCTCCACCCCAAAGTCTTCTAATGTATTCCTGTGCCTGATTTAACTATAGTGGTGTCTTCTGACCACAAGCAGGCTCTGGACGTATCACCACCTTGAGGATCAGGAGCATTGGAAGCCCCTGATGGTCACTGCTGCTTCCTGGGAAGGAGGGAGGGTTGAGGGAGGGACTGCCAGCTATCCTTCCTGCCACGGTGCTGGACACCACTTCCTGACGTTTCCGTTCAAAGCAGTCTATTCAGCTTCTGTCCTCTGGGTGGCTACCACTGACATGCAAGTGACTCTCTTTATTGTATGGGCCAAGGTGGTGTTGGCTGCAGAGCACCCACTGGTGGTCATAGTCATCACTGCCATTGAGGAGGCAGGCAACTGCAAGGATCTATTTCCTTTTTTTTTTTTTTTTTTGGTGTTTACATGAGAAGGTAAATTCTATGTTTTCTTAAAAAGCTGGTCTAGGTCTGAAAAGGAAGAAATGTGAGGACATGGATAAAGGGGAGGTGGAGTGACAGGAGAACCCAATTCTTAAGAAAATTAAATTGTTCTTAGAATTAAGTTGATAGCAACTAAAAATGGATGTGAGCAGAGAAGCGCAGTCGCTTTAGAGAGAGCCGTGCTGTCTGGCCAGCACAGACACACAGGAAGAGTGACCATCTGCAGGCCAGAAGATCTGAGGCCCCGGCCAGGCTGGCAGTCTATGCAGGTTCCTGAGGACCATCGGGTTCCTGGGGTAGGGGTGGGCAGAGTCCTGGTCTCCTTAAACTCATCAGTGGCACTGTGCCCTAGCCAGGCACTTCCTGTGTATGCTTTCAAGGGGTGTCTGTTCAGCTCTCTATGGCTTTGGCAGTCCTGAGGACTCACACACATTCAAACAACCAGCTGCTTTCGGGCTCCTGGTTGTGGGGAAGTGCTAAATACGGATCGGCAGGGCCCTGCGAAGGCCTCTGTCCAGGACAGCAGCAACCTCTTCCTTGGCCTTTGCTGGGGCTGGGGCCACTTGGCTTGAATTCAGATCCATAGAGTGTATGTCTTGGGCCCAGCTGTTCAAACCCAGACAAGCCACTCATTCTCTGTGGCTCTGGCTCCTCACCAGGGAATGGCGATATCAGTAAAGACCTGCCAAGGGAATTAAAGCCATCTGTCCAGGCTTGGTACAGGGTAAAAAAGATAAGAGCCTTAGCTCCGTGAGGCCCCTGGTAACCAGGATGAGTCTAAGCATCCTGCAGTGGTCTACCTAAGCTACTTGCTCCCCTCCCCCACACCTTCAGGCTCTGGGAGCTTGAGAGCCAAGCCTTGATTGCCTAGTTATTTCCAGTGCGTACTGCTTGGGTTCTTGCTGCATCCAGTCAGCTAGGAATCACAAGATTCCTAGCTGGGGTTGGGGGAGGGCTGCTAGAGCTGAGAAAAGTTGATGTCACAGGTTCCCAGGCCCCCTAGTGGGAGCACCTTCCCCACTTGATTGTGGGCTCTGCTTGTGGGGAAGTCAGACTGTGAGACCCAGGTGCTCAAGACTCAGAGTCTCTCGTGGAAAGCAGGGAGGCGAGGTAAGGTGTGGAAAGCAACGCTTTTGTCCCCTGCCTCACAGCCCTCCTAGTAGCTGCAGGCTGGGATTACTTGCTGTGCCTACTACTTTACTTTAGAAAAATTGAAAGCAAAATGTTTAAACGATGTTCTGGCGGGGTGGTGGTGGTGCATGTCTTTAATGCCAGCCCTCGCACTCGGGAGGCAGAGGAATGTGGATTGCTGTGAGTTCAAGGCCAGCCTGGTCTACAGATAGAGTCCAGGACAGCCAAGGCTACACAGAGAAACCCTGTTTCAAAAAAGCAAAAAAGATTCTGCAGCCGGGCGTAGTGGCTCATACCTTTAATCCCAGCACTCAGGAGGCAGTGGATCTCTGTGAGTTTAAGGCCAGCCTAGTCTAACGGATCAAGTTCCAGGACATCGTGAAACCCTATCTTGAAAAACCAAAAATAAATAAGCAAATATTTTTTTTAAAAATTCTGTAAACTACAGGATACTAGAGAATCCTTTAATCCCCCACACACAGAGGCAGGAAGGTTCTGAGGAAGAGGGACAAAAAGAAGGCATTGCTGATCTTTCGCCCTTCTGGAACACCCATCCTTCCACGTGCCCAGAGGTTCCAGACCTGGCAAGCTCAACTCTCAGCATGCCAGCTAAAAGCTTGGGTCCTTGAAATGCATCGCTGCCACCCGGGAGCACTCTTGCTCCCTTTCGGTCTTGTAGCTGAGTAGAAGCCAGCCAGGCAGGCACAGAGCTCACAGCCAACAGCTCAGAAACCCAGCCAGCTGAGACCTGGGTGCTGAAAAGGAATTACCACTGCCTGGGGCGAGACAGGTGGCAGGCAGAACCCTACGTAGGTTGTGTGTGGTGCCACCTGGTCCCTCCCCTGGCCAGTCAGCTCCAGAATAAACTCCACTCGGGGTACATTTTACTGTCCCTGGAAGAGGTTGGGAGCCCTGGAGGAAGGTCAAGTCTGAGAGGACTGCATGGTAGAAGAGACGGCAGGTCTGGTTGCTTACCTCCGGGATACAAGCCCTTGGAACAGGGAAGGATGGTCATGGTTGTGCTAATGGGGCACCCTAGTGAGAACTCTGTATTTTGAGACCAGGGTGGGTTACAAATCCTGTCCCTTTTGTACCCATACGGCCCTTAGTGGTTCTGTTTTTGCCCATAACTTTAGCTATCGGCTTGATGAGGCCTGGATCTTCCATCCAAGTCCAGTCCCCGCATCTCCCACATACTCCTCTGCCTGCTGGACAGCTGTTTTGGATGCCCACAGCTGCCTGAGACAGGGCTCCGCCTCCCTCCAGGTCAGGAGCTCCCACTCCTCCACCCCACAATGCTCTACTATGTAGCCTAAACTACTACCTGACTGTTGTAGCTTGGGCTGGCCTCCGGCTCACTATGTAGCCCTGGCTGGTTTGCAACTGTGAGCCTTCTGCCTCCACTTGTGGGGATAACAAGCACATACCATGCCCAGCCTTCAGCCCCTACACTCTCCTTTCTTAGAAAGGGCTTGGCCTCTCCTCCCCTGCAGCTGGCCTTCCTGCCTTTAGCCTTGACCTTCTCCAAGACTCGCCCTGTGAAACGGCCAGGCTGGGTCTTGTGCTTTCCCTATGTCTCCTCCTTTCCTTCCCTTCCTCCCTCCTTCCTGCCTGAGCTGGCTTTCCTCTTCC